TACAGAATCTGTTGTTTTGTTACATCTGTATCTCATCCTTCCTTCAAAGGAGAAAAGAGAGCTATTTTTACAAATATATATTTTGAACTTTTTGAGGGAATACAGAGTTTAAAAAAGGGGTAAGGGGAAAGAATAAAAGGTAAAATTACCAAAACATAATATAAACAAAGAGAACTAACTCTTTTGGCCTAACCACCACACTGGGGGGGGGGGGGGTAAGGGGTTAAGCTAGACCCTTTAGATTAGCCAGGAACTTTTTCGGGGTGCTTCAGGAGGGCACCAATTGAATTCCCCTGTGCCTCTCCCCCCCCTTCCACACGCCATCTTGGCTTGTACTTCCAGGAGCACCTTTTCCCCGGGGCAGAACACACGTCTGTCTATGGAGTCCCACAGGCCGCAGGGCCAGGATGAGATTGGCAAGCCAACTGTTTGGGGAAGTGCTTCCTGTTTCGTTCCAGGGGCTCCCACTGGGTGTGCTTGCACTGGCCTAAAAAGCCTTTTGGTCAGCAGCCAGAGTGCTCTGGCTACTCCCAGTTAAAGGTGTGCCTCTTGGGACGTGCATCCCAGCAGGGCACCCAGGGCTTCAGATGACCTCTTGCTCTGCCTGCCTTTCTCCTTCAGGCACCAGGGCGGAAGTTGGCCAGTGGCATGAAGAGCCTGCAGCTGCAGGACAAAGAAGAGGCAGCAGCAAGCTGGTAGTGGCTCTGCCTGAACGAGTTGTGTGGCACAGCGGGGAAGTAGCCGTGACACAGCCAAGACAAGGAACCTGCCCAGTTAGCCCTGAGCGGGTTCTGAATCTAGTTTTTCTGAATCCTGATCACCATAGTCTTTATGCCACACTGATTTGCAGCTGCTAGCCTTATATTTCCTATCCATGTGAATTGATTCAGATGTAAATCCTCTAAAAATCTTTCCTTTAAAACAATTTGTCATCTGTTGTTTCAAGCCTCTCCTTTCTTGCCATTCAGCTAATATTGATTTCTATTCATCATACCGTAAATTTAGATTAAAATTGTTCTAGCAAATTCCTATGAACCTTTAAGCAGCAACCAAAATAAGCTGCTCTGCTTAACACCTGGTGTTATGTACTGAGCCAGGACAGTACCAGGAAACTGACAAAGCTTGAGTCAGCAGAACAATGGGGAGCCAGGATCCTGGAATGGTCCTACAGATTAAGAGCTGTACTGTAAATAGCCTTTCATGGGGAGTGTGTGTGGGGTGTGTGTGGTGTTTTGCACAAATATAAGCAGGGCCCCTGCCCTGCTTGAGTTGTTGTAGAGTTAAGCTAAAATCACTAATAAACCATGAGCGTCTGGAACCCAGTATATTGCACCTATCATAATTAAAAGTGCTCTTAAAATAAACCAAATTCACAATCAATCAGCATGAATGATGTATTAGTAAGGGTGAGTGAACTTTTCCCTGGTATATCTCACAACACAATTTTCAAGTACACACAAGCACCTATACATATGAATGCAGTATCGCAATGATGTATACAGAAAACAAAGGTGCTATGCAAATCTCACACATTCTAGGTCTCTTTTTTAATTATACCTTTTCTCAAAGCCTGAACACATTTTCACAATTAAAAAAAAACAAACGAGAAAAAAATACCCGGTACTCAAAACAGAAGTCTATTTGTTGTGTTCAAGTAAATATAATATTCCAGACTTCTCACAACCTAAAACCTGGCATGCAAAGTAAGTAAGGGTATTAAATTATCATTTAACTCAAGTTTCATTTAAAATCTTTTCATTTAAAATTTCAAGGATTTTTATTTGAGTCTTGTTCTAAAGCTGACTTCCATGCATGTATCCAGAACTGAGAGCACAAGTCAAACGTGCATCTGAATACAGAAAGCTTTTCGCTTCATTACCTCCAATAGCATATAGAGGTTTGAATATGTATGCCCAGTCATATAGATATATAAATGGGAATATGTGTTGGATGGCCTTTTGAACACACTTCTCATTGCAGTCTCTGAAATCAGATGCATATCCAATAGATCCTGGTGATTTTATGTGGCCAAGGAAGTCTGCTTTTTGTACACACATCACTTTTGTGGGGATCAAGGTACAGAAGTATAATACACCAATCACTCTTACTACACAACTACTGTTTGGTTCAAGGAGGTTTGTCAGGAATCCCTCTCAAGCTCTTTAAAATGAACACTAACTGAAGCATCACACCCCTGTAGGTATCACAGGTGATCCAAACCAATGTTAGTAACTATCACTTTTAATAACCCCTACTACTACTACTTGAATCAGCATATATGCTCTCACTTCAGATGCTATTGCTATTGAAATCCTGACAGAGTAGCTGCAGTTTTCTAGTGGTTCTTTCTTATTCATATCTCTGCATTACCTTACTGACAGCCTCAGGCAAACTGGTACAAAACTGATTTAAACTCTATGAGACATCATAAACTGAGGCACACAGAAAGAAAGCAAGGAGACCTTTTCAAGGCTGAATTAAATGTGTATCAACCAGCTACACAGCAATATTTTGGCTAGTTTTCTTCTTGTTCCCCAATACAAATAAATATTTGAACAGCAGAAGCCTTATTCATATTGCAGAATTAATTTGATTAAGTATTCTGCCTCAAATATCATGCGCTAGCCATACACATCTGACAGTTAGAAAAGCCTCTTACTTGAAAAGACATAATTTTAACAAACTATTGACAGTTCATACCAACTACTGGCCCTGTGCACCAAAATCAGCTTGTACAATACAGACAAGTAGGGTCGATTTATCCTATGGTCCTACCTCAAAGTCTCTTCTTTCTCCATCTTTCTCTCTCACACACTGCATTTTGCACATTTTGCCATAACTTTTGACTTTTTACCTTTCTTTTGCACTCTAAACACCAATTTACTTACTTCTGATATTCAAGGGGCCTTAATCCTTTGGTCTCTCAAGGACCAAGTTTTCACTCTCACGGTCCCACTTGTTTTGTTGCATTTGAAACAAATTGCTTCTCCACCCAAATTCCTGTATCCATGTACACATGCATGCTTGAGCTTTGAAACTTGGACCCATTTAAATAATGTAAATATATGCAAGAGTAAAATAATTTGAGTTGTGCTATGCTAAAGGAAGAGGGACTTCAAGAAAGGGTTTGGGGAACCTAAACTCCAAAGATAATAAATAAGGGGGCTGGGAATACAACAATTATATACATATGTTCAGCCAAGTAACAAACAGAAACTTTGAGAACAAACATCTATTATGAGTGTACATTATGCTGCAGTTACCCTAGCAGCTCTTTTAAAGCATCCGATAATTTCTTCAGAAACTTTTCTGGCAGCAAAGTATACTTAGCTGGCACTAACACTTAGTGGCCACTCAGTATTAAGGTTGTGGACCTTGAACTTAGACATTTTTAAAAAAAACCTGGAACAAGCCTTAAAGAACAGCTTGTGAACCTATAAGAAATCCAAATGAAGATCCACTAGCTGTAAAAAAAATTGTTCTGTGTCCAGTTATTTTTAGACATAAGCAGAAAGGATATCTCAGTAATGTTTCTACACTGGTATTCACAGTTTCACTGCAGTTTCTAGAGGCACCACAAAATAGACCTGTTGATGACATCCACCATGGACTACTCCAGACAGTGAGGGCATACATAATGATGTTCTGGGTAGCTGCTCTTCCGCTTTGAAATTATTCCTCTAACGGTCTAAAGCCTGAGAATACTTCAGAAGGAAAGCAAGGCCTTTTTATTGGAGCAATAATTGTTCACCTAACTGTGCAAATAATCTTTATACTGATTTGCTTTTTTAAAACATTGCAGTTTTTGTTATTGTTTATTATAGCTCACTGAAGGTAAAAATCCAAAAGAAAAAAGTGTTATTTTTACAGGTTTAGGCTTCTTTGAAACACTTTGAAAGTAGCAAGGTTTGATTTGAGATTCCAAAATTGTAAGTCAGGTCCAAACAAACAAAAGACAGAAAAATAAAAGGTTCACTAAACAGTATTAAAACTAGGTAATTTTAGAAGTATTTCCAACTTATTAGTCATGCACATTATATATCATTAGGCAGATACATTTTACTTCATTGCTTTATGTTATAGTTCAGGTTTCTTAACAAAATAAAATGTCCTTCTAAAAGATTATCAGATTGTAGTTACTTAGGACAGCTACCAAAAAAAAATAAAAATCACCTCAAGACCAAGTGTTTTGCCTTTCCAACTTAACCTTTCCCCTTTTTCCCATCTGCCAGACAGCACAATAAAGACACTGAAGGCAGACCAGCCCGTAGCCAGAACATTTTCAAGGGGGGGGGGGACATGCCCCTGATGTGGTGATGTTACTTGTGACATCATCAGAAAGTGATTTATCAGGCGGCAGGCTCTCCTTCCTCCTCCCTGTTCACAGAGGCTCAGGAGCCTCCTGCGCACTGGGAATGGAGAGGGAGAAGGAGAGCATAGAAGGCAGGCAGGGTAGCGCGTGGCGAGCAGAGGAATCATGATGCCTCTTTCTGCTCACCACCCACTACCCTGGCAGCCTGCCTCCTTGGATCTCCCTCAGCAGCGGCGTGCACCAGCCAGCCCAGCCACCACACTGCTGCTAAGGGAGAGCCGAGGAGGCAGGCAGGAGTGTATCTTTGCTAACCAGGCTCCCAGGGTCAGGGGAGAGAGGGGGATCTGGCATCCTCCTGGGGAGGGCTGGGGGTAATCCGTGGGGGGGCACCATCCCAAAAGCCCCCCATGGCTATAGGCCAGAGGCAGACATGTTTATCTAGCTGACAAACACAGCAGGGATTGCTGGCTGCAATCTCTTTTCATGAAATCAGTATTTTCTGAAACCTGGTATTCTAAACAGACACGTAACTGATAATGGATTGATAAATGACCTTGAATCTGGAAATTAAGCTTAGCTCTTTAAACATTCTTTGATGCTGTATCAGCAAACAATATGTATTTTTAAATATTAGATGCACACAGTTAATGCCTCTTTAAATATTTAAAAACATAAGTTCCAGTCATACCTGCTCCTTGGAAGAAACATTGATTCTTTGATAAATACTGAACCAGACAGGAGAATATACCAACAGGTCCCAATATCATCTGGGCTGTAAATAAAGAAGAGGAAGTATTAGGAGGTACTAATTGCACAGAGAAAAAACAAGATAAAGGGTTTCCAAAAAATATGCATGATAAAAATAAGTCACAACCCATGAAAGTCCCACAACCCACATTTTAAAGACTGTAATGGAGCTTAACCTGAATGTAATTATGCTGGAGCAAAAACCTAGTGAAAACTTAGTGACAATGTTGGGGATGCAATATTGTGTGCACTACAGCAATCTATACACAAATCCAACAATCCTACCTTTCTTTCTGAGATAGTTGAGAGTAGCAGGAACCTTACCTGAAGAGATCAGTACTAAGTATTTTGTTGGAAGGAGACAGCTACTTGATCCCATTTCTTCATGTGAGTATTAAAATAAGTGATATGAAGATGTTCTCTGCAGCAAAGTATTAGCTCTAAATGACTTATATCAAGACTATCTTGAACTTGTAAACTAACTAGAAAGGCAATTAGTTTTTTAATACAGAAAAATAAGAAATCAGCATAAAATAGTCAGATACTCTAACACTGGACTTCCAGCAAGGTCAATCTTCATGTTATATCTTTACCTAGCCACCTCTCTTGTCATCAGCTTAATATTATCTGCATATTAAATTAGACATCTATTTCTAACTCCCAATAACAACTATGGCAAGATATACAGGAAGTATATTTCATTAAATCATTTTGTAACATTTTCCATTTAATAGGGCTTGGAAATCCCAAATATTTAACAATGGGATACAACAGAATTCTTAGGCTAACCCATGTATTTAAAAAACAAACAAAATTGTCAGTAATATTAAAATTTAGAATGAGGTGGGCTGGTTCCAGCTGAATGTAATCACATACTTTTAAGAGAGGTTCTTTAAAATAAATTTATGGGATACTTCTGTAAGAGAAGTGCAAAATGCATTCTATCTGTTTGTAAGATGAAAAGTTCAGTGATACAAACATTATATTTTAGATAGTAATTCTAAAGTCATGTTCCGTTGTTATTAGACACTTAAATCCCACTCTCTCCCCCTCCCCTTCTTGCTAACTTTAGTCTTCTGAAAAAGGAACAGATTAGCTCAAAATCACCTTCAAGTAATTTTCATCACGCTCAAATGTCAAATAAAAAGCACTGCTTAGAAATGCAACTGTATTATACTTATTAAGGGAGAAAAAAATCACCCACACTTTGAAAGTCCCTTACAGATTCAGCTTTTTGAAAATGTATGTGAATAGATCTGAAAAGTTCAAAGCAATTCTGTTTTTGAAATAACCACCAGTAGACTGAATCAGCTCACTGCAATATTTATCATCATGCACACCAGTAACATAGCTGCAGCAAATATCTTAGTCCTCCCTTTGAAAAGTACTAGGATTCCCTCTCTTCCCACTCATTCCCAAGAAATAACCTCCAAACAGCTGGCCACCATCTCTCATGGATATATTTTCACTAGAAGAGATAAAGGTTATTCTAGAGATCATTAATATAATCTTTATAGACTCAACTACCAAATTCCTGAACAAACGTGCCCTTATGTTTAATGCTGCATAGAAAGCTCCTGATTTTTTTTTTGAGGGGGGGAGAGACACTTTTCAAATACAATATATAAATAAGCAATTGTGATTTACTGCAGTGCAGATCTGGCTGAAGCCCAAGATGGCTTTGCCAATTGTCTAGCTATCAGAAGGTATAATATACCTTTGGGGAAGTGAAAAAAGCAACAGACTAGCCCCTGCTGCTGCTACTCTTTGCATTATTAAATATCCTCTTGGACGACTTTCACAAAAGCCAATGGAAGGTGAATGCACATATAGTGTCTGAAGAAACCTCAACATATCACTTAAAATTAACATTCTGAGCTTTGCCAAGGCTTTACACAAGCTTAGTTTATTCACATTTTAAGATACCTTTTCTTTGTCCTTGTAAACAAGCATTAAGAGAATTAGATAATAAAGATCTGAAATCAATGTTTGTCTGTAAGATCTGGTGGAGAGATAACACTGGCTCTGTACAAACCATGACTTACAAACCAGCAGGCATCTTTGGAATGCCAACATACACACACACACCAATGAAAACTGCTGCTAAGTACTTTAACCCTTCCAGAATCAAAAGTTTGTATGTTAGTGACCCCATGACCCACAGTAAACCCTACAACAAAAGACACTGTCTCCATGTCTTAGCAATAAAGGGCACCAACTGCCTCAGGAAGCTGCTTCAAACAAGTTCTATATTTTGTGACTTCCACACCAAGCACGCTCTGTCTCTTTCCCATAAACAAGGTTTTACATTTGGCAGAAGAAATCTTGTTGCAGCCTGGAACACATAAATCCCAAAGCAGGTCTATACTTGGAAAGCCTAATTTGATAACTGAAAGCCCATACAGTCTGAACAGTAAAGCGGCTATCTCTTACCACAGATTCTCTTACGCTAGAGCACAAAGAAGAACATGCAACAGCCAATATCTTCATTCCTACTCTCCCACTCACAACTGACCAGGAACACAGAAAGCGTGTTTAATGCAGGAGTAAATATATGCTTTTAGTTTGGGGGCAGGTGCACATAGGAAGGGGTAAACCTGCTTTTCTAAACCCACCTCTGCTGTTTTTCAAAGCAAAAAAGAACACACACACACCCAATCCAGAAGCTATATTTGGTATGGGGGGGGGAGCTTCTCTCCTTATGCTTCCCAAGTGCAGCTCCTGTTCCTTTTTTTTTAGGGGGGGGGGTCGGTCATACCTACATCATCCATACTTCCCTAGAGGAAGATGAGAAAAAAAGAAGCTGGATTTGTTTTAAAAAATTATATCTGATTTTTAATGAAAAACCTATCTGAAGAAAGTTTTAAATTAAGACACATTATAGCTCACAGATACTTCATGGAATAGGGATTACCAATTTGTAATCTGAGATAATATATGCATGTAATGTTTGAAAATTCTTGTAAACACATTTCGGTGACTCTCTCATTCTTAGGGGCCTAACTTTAGGCTGCCCTAACAGCTTCTGTAGATTAGGGCAGTGCACCCCAATGTGGCTCATAGGTGCCACGGCACCTACCAGCACTTCCCAGAGTTTGCCACGTCTTTCAGGAAAGTATGAGGGCCCGATGTGAAGGCAGAACGAGTGACGGGCTGCCTTCATACAAATAAAGGAGCTTTTCACCTGGATCTTCCCTACTACTCATTGAACTGGAGAGGATGCAGGATCCTGCAAAGAGGACCCATGACTTAGCTGTGAGGCAGTAAAAGGAGGAAGCACCAAGGCATCAGTCTTCAGCCTCCAGATTAGCAGTGGGGAAGGAGCATGGGGCTGTAGTAGCACTCTGACCAGTGGTCCAGTGGGGAACAAGGAAGCACAAGTGGCAGCCCCCATCAGCTTTCCAGCAGGGGAAATGAACACGGGCAGCAGTAGGAGCAGAGCTCTGGTTAGCCACCCAAGCACAGCACAAGAAGCCAAGCACTCTCCTTGAAGCCGGGTTAGGGTGAAAAGCTTCTACTACCTTTATTAAATAAGTAAACAATTCATTTTCTGTAAAACTAACCTTAAAGTTTCAAAATAAATCACTATGTAAAATGTATGTGTAAAACATATAATGCATACCTCTGGGGTGCAAATATGTATTACTGAACTTTTATGTATGAAACCATGATTTGTTATTTTATTTTTGGTTTTAAACTGATAATGTTTACAACTATTATTGTAAGACGCCCTGAACCACAAGGAAAGGCAGGATATAGTTTAATTAATAAATAAAAATAAATTTTAAATACAGTCTTCCTGACAAGTGATTTAAACCAAATCCACCCCACCATAATAGCTTCACAGCTGCTAGAGCATGCCACAAATCTTCAGCATTCTATAAACTCCTAGGCACTAGAGCAACCTAGTGCCCCCACCACACACCTCTTTTTATTCCTTTAACCAAGTCAGCAATTTGGTCACACGCAGGAGGCAAGGCCAGAGAGCTAATTCCTTCCCTCTACATATATTGGCCCTGTACATAGATATGTCCAATGTACAGGGCAACAGTAACAGCAAAAAATCCTGCTGCTATTATAGGTAAAGGTAAAGGTTTCCCTTGCTCGAAAGCCAGTCGAATCCGACTCTAGGGGGTGGTGCTTATCTCCGTTTCCAAGCCAAAAAGCCTGTGCTGTCTGAAGACGTTTCCGTCTAAATGCTGAGGCGCGCGGAACGCTGTTACGTTCCCACCAAGGCAGTACCTATTTATCTACTTGCAATTTCTTACTTTCGAACTGCTAGGCTCGCAGGAGCTGGGGCCAGAGATGGGAGCTCACTCCGTCACATGGCACTAGGGTCTCGAACTGCTGAACTACAGATCTTCCGGTCTGCAGCTCCATGTCTTAACCTCTGAGCCACCGCTGCCGAAAGCACTGCTATTATAGGTGCACCTTAAAGACCATATATATAGCAAAATGCCCCTGAAGGATCTCTGATGAGGAGGGCTAAGTAACATACCAATAATATGGGGTAGAACACAGGGGGGAGGTGTTCCTTAGTGCATACAAACAGGTGATAGGCCTCAAACCCTCAAGGATCGTGCCCGATCCTCAGACTGAATAACCTTAAAAGTATCACAAACAACCAGACAATCTGGCATCCTGGCACCATCTGATTCTGCCACTACTAATGTAAAGTTCAAGCTGGAACAAATGAAGAGATTGTATCTGCAAAGTACTAAGCAAAATGGTCACAAAAGACCACCAAGCACTCCACCATCTCCTGAAGGCTAGATCCCAACAGGCCTCTGACCACATGGAACAGTTGGCCTACACTGTGCAGAAGCAATGGTGGTTGGAAAGTGTGTGTGTGTGTCTGTGTGTGTGTGTTGGGGGAGTTTTGCTGCCATCACCACCCGAGTATGCTTTAAAACAAGCTTTTATCTACATCCTACTGGATTCATTCTGAGTTTTCCTCCACAGTCCCTGTAGCTGTCTCCCTTGTCTTTTCATTGCCTGCAGCTACCCAGTAAACAAAGGGGCTACCCGGGCTCTAACGCTTGAGAGAGAGTCCACCAGGTCATCAACAGGAGCACCAACCATATCAATAGGAAAATCCCCTAGAACGGGGCTCCTGGGGTGGACATACCTGAGGGACCGCCTTTCCCCATTGATACCCCAGAGAGCACTACGGTTGGGGGCTCAACATCGGCTGGTGATTCCAGGCCAGAGGGAGGCCAGGCTTGTGGCAACCAGGGCCAGGGCCTTTTCAGTGGCGGCTCCTACCTGGTGGAACAAGCTCTCAGAGGAGATCAGGGCCTTGCGGAACCTTTCACAGTTCTGCAGGGCCTGCAAGACGGAGCTCTTCCGCCAGGCTTTTAATTAGGAGCTGCCACCACCACCAACCACAACTACCTCATGGGAACATGGGGCATTAGGATGGCCCATTATAAGATCGATGGCCCACTATAAGATCGAGTTACAGTATTCAGATGGAGCGGTACTGCCGATTCGGGCTTGAGTAACATCTACTGATCACCATCTTGACTTGACTGATTTGACTAAATGATTAATATTAACATCACTAAGCACTTTAATTTTGATAAAATGGCTGTTTTTATTTGTTTTAATGTTTTATACTTGGCACATGGTGCCCTTGTCTGTTAGCCACCCTGAGCCCGTTCGCGGGGAGGGCGGGATAAAAATACAATAATTTAAAAAATAATCATTTTAACAGAATCCCTACCCCTTGCATAGTCTTGATATCCCTGTGAGTCTAAAACCAAATAGTGATCTGTACATTACAAATGAACCATCATCAATTCCTCCACCCTCCGCATTACTAGCATATACAGACCACTCTATACTCTGAGTCAGTTTGCATCATGGAACCACTATGACTGATCAAATGCATAAACCTGTAATAGAAAACCAGGGTGCACATAAAAGTCAAGGACATCATAATCTATCCTCTAATATTTCATATACAGCAATCTGTATCCTTGGAGGAAGGAAAGGAAACTGGTATGCTAAGCATGTTTCCAAAATTATATTCATGTTTAGGAACTGTAGAAGCCAGAAGTCAAACTTACTGGTAGGTGCTACAGTTTTAAAAGTTTTCAGTGGTAGTCTGTGCTCCCAAATACAAAGCAAACAACCACCACAATGGATCATAGATCATTCTTTGGTTAAGGAGAAGAGATTGTCTGTCACAAATCTTATCAGAAACGGCCTCGGGTCAAAGGTAAACTGGCTACTATAATGAGGCCATGACTCTGAACTTAGAGACTCCCAGTTTCAAAGCTTCCACAGGCAACCAGAGGAGAAAATAAAACCCGAGCTATATGCATGCAACCAGCACAGCACTGCCTTCCCTCTACTAATCCTTTGAAGTACAATGCAAATTGCAGCTAAGTTTCTTTCCCATTCTGCCACAGCACTGCCAGGGCACAGCACAGCACAGCAACTACTACATATTTCATGTAAAGGCTGAGTGGTAAAACCTACCAGGAGAACCAAGAGACATACAAATTTCTCACTTTCCCCAAGACGTATCACCATTGAATAACTAAGCAAAGCAGAGGTACTATGTGGCCAGAACTATGGTACAAAATGTTTCTCTCTGAAACATAACAAGTTAAAACTGATTACAACCTTTTACATCAGCTGGAGAAAGCTGAATTCATTCATGCAAATTAGGTTGGTACTCTATGTAAAAATCATACAATGAGAATCTACAAGTTTCCACATAAGCAATTATGATATAAAAATTGAGACCACACTTACTAGTACAGAACTTCATTTGCTTCATGCCTCTCGTATCTCACTGTTTCGCACATCATTCTGCAATGATAAAAGTTTACCATTTACTGTTTTTTAAAGGCTTGACCATTTATAATTAAAAGCTTTACTTAACAAACATTCTTAAACATACAGAAATCACATATTCATGTGTTAGGGTTGCCAGGTCTCATTGCTCTGGTGGGGGGATTTGGGGGCATTCTGGGGGTGGGTGAGGCTGTTGCGTGATGTCCCCAACACAAGGATATCACCCAGAAGTGACATCATTGCATCGGGGACGTCGTGCAGGGGATGCTCTGGTATTTCAGTGAAACTCGATGGGTTTTTTGCCATCAAACCACAGAGTTTGCCCAAAAACTAGAGCGTCCCCACATGATGTGATGATGCTGAGAGCACCATGTGGCAACATCCTTATTTAGGGGCGGGATTTTCCCCACCAGCCAACTGGTCCGCAGTGGGGAGAAGCCCCTGAAATAGGGGGATCCCCCGACAGTACTGGGGGCTGACAAGCCTATCATGTATCTAGCTTTCAGTTCAATATACTTCAGCAATTTTACATTTTCCACAAAGCTGCACACTGTTGGTAGTTACTACACTATTATAGTTGCCTTTATATTGTTACAATTACTATCCACTCCAAAGCAGTACATGCTGATAAAAGCTGCTGTTAATGTATGTTTACTCTTTAGCACAGAGATGTCACTCATACATTACGAGGGCCAGAACTGACATAAATGTCACTTTGTCGGGCCAAGCCATGTATGTGATAAAACAAATGCCAGGTACCGGAGATATAAACTTTATAAAGGACAGTAGCTAGTAAGCTCCAAGTTGGTGTATCCTCACTGCAAGGCCCCATGGGCTGGGAGGGAGGGTGCAGAGGAAAACCCACATGGGTGGACTGGAGAGCTAGTGGTGCAACACTGAGCAGATGCTCCCATGCTGCTTAACTGCTGAAGATGAGGTTGTTCCCCCATGCTGAAGCCACAATTACAGTGGATCCACCCACTCACCTCCCAGCAATCTCCTATTCCCTCCCTTGCACCAGTTGCTCGCAGGCTGCTTAACAACCCTGGATGGGCCAGTTCTGCCCCCCAGGCCTTATGTTTGATACCCCTGTCCTAGACGATTTTCTCTTCATGTTTTCTTTAGCAGTTTGTGTGTGTTTTGCAAACACATGCCAGCATAGATGTGCTCAGAACAAAACTGCACAGCATACCATCTGCTATGTTAATTCTCACATAAGTCACATAAGTCATCATCACCAGAAACAAGGATTTTATTGTAAAACTTCAGGTGGAGTAGCCATGTTAGTCTGAAGCAGCAGAACAAAGGTTGAGTCTAGTGGCACCTTTAAGACCAACCAAGTTTTATTCCTGGTATAAGCTTTTGTGTGCCAGCACACTTCCTCGGGTATCTGAGGAAGTATACTTGCACACAAAAGCTTATACCAGGAATAAAACTTTGTTGGTCTTAAAGGTGCCACTGGACTCAACCTTTATTCTATTGTAAAGGCTGTGAGAAAAAATAATTTCTAATAGATCACAGATAGACAGGAAATGAGAAGCTATTTTGTAGGTCCATGGGAAGCAATACAGATGCTTTCCACAATGGAATAGCATGAAAAACAGTTGAGAATGGCATGCAGCAATATGGCATCATGCTAAAAGGTAGGAATCAAAGGCAGAAACCCCAACTGTTCAGCATATTGTGTAATACATAAAGGCAAATGTAATACATAAAGGCAAACACACCAAAACATAGTAAGTAAATGAACATTAACTGTTTTAGTATCAATCTATGATTTGGGAGTCACAGGTGACTTGAAAGACTTTTCTTTGCACTGGAAAAGCCGTTCCCCCCTCCCCAGATCATAAGAGTCTACTTGGAACTCAGGAGTTCCAGATGTGTAGAGATGTATAACTTGCAAAAATGTTAAACCCATGATGAGAACATCTTTTCCCGAGGAAAAACAGAAAATGTTGCCAGAAAATGAAATAGATGCAATACTTATGTTATCATACCTAAATTTATTTTAACATTTTAGCAACAAAAGATGCATCATTTAGAACTAAGTTGGCACATTAATTTGTACTCCTTGGCATATTTAAGAAATTTAAAAGTATAAATATCATCATTTTCTATAAGCAAGAATGTAAGTATTCCGCACATTAAAGAGAGAGACGGCTGCAAATGGCTGCATTCTATGCTACCATTGCTCATCTGTGTTTTTGCCATCTCACAGGTAGGGAGGATATGAAAATAGAAGCAAAAGTTTTGATGTAAAGAGAATGTGTAATTTGTATAGTCTCATACGGTGAGGGGACCTGGCAACCCTATGTAAAAATCTTCACACTGCACACAGAGTAAAACTTTCACTATTCCAAGAGAGAAACTATTTCAATTGAGGGGTGTTTTTTTCCCCAATGCTCCCCCAAATTTCCGCTTTTTCTGTTGGGATTTTTCTGTTGGGATTTTCCCCAAAGTTCTCAGAAACTTTGTTTCTGAATTTTTCTGGAATTCCCCCCCCCCCCCACCCAAGGCTGTCACATTTCTACAGATGACAACCTCTTAGAAGTGACAGTTCCATCACTTCTTATGTTACTAATTCCAAAATCTGAGGAAAGTTTTATTAAAATGTTGTATATCCCCCAAAGAAAATATTATTTTAAACATTTAATAGAACAATGTATCTAGAGGAATCCTTCTGAATGATTACCTGTAAAAAAAAAGTCAAAAGGTAAAATTTGCAATCTTATTTTCAGGAAATTAAATGACGATGTATCTCAATGAATTGCACCTGAATTCTGACACGTTTATGCAAAGCAGACCCAAAAATAGGGCAATTAGAATAAAGAAATATGCCACATATACTAAATTGACTGTTACTACATTTGATTAAAATGTTTCCTCTTAAATTTCAAGCAGACTCTTATTGTCCACAGGAGGGAGATCTTCCAATGTAACAAAAAATCTTTCAAGTAATCTATGACGTATTAACCCTGGAAAAATTAATAATTTGTTTACTTCATTTATTCTTTTTATTCCAAGGCAGGCAAAGAAATCTCCCTCAAATGCTTTATCAGAAGATGAGTAAACAGATTACAGCTTTTGAGATTTGTCACAGAAATTTAAGATTCCCCACTGTCACCTCTATTAGCAGCTATGGTTCTTAATTTTATGCCACTATATTTGTTTTCACTTTTCCTATGAAAAATTCTTATGATCAGGCTATTAAAATCTGAACTCCAATAAAGTTGTATTTCTCCTCAAAGTTCATGAAGGTAACAGTTGGGGGGGGGGTGATGCAGAAACAATGGCAATTCTGTCAAGCTGCACGTAATGGTAAGATACACGAAGGCAGATACTGGAACACTGGCATTATGGTTATGAATAAATACATTTTATTTTAGAAGGCAACTGTAAAATGTGGATTCTGTTTGACAAGAGTACTGTTTGGGATTGTTAAATATACTTAACACCATTCATCTAAAATAATTTCATTCACATTTCAGGAGTTAAGAGACTTCTAAAAGTGTTTAACGGATTCAATTCTCACCAGGTCCCTTCTCTATAGAGATGCATGACAGCCATTAAACATTTAGCCTACATCGAGGCAAACAATTTTCATTAAAAAAGTTAATTTCATAAGAGCTCAATTCTCAAGATACACTTGTTCCAGTTAAGTACAAGACAAAAACAGTGCATTTTTAAATGAAAAGTTTTTTGATGATAGAAAATGAAGGAACAACCTATCCTCTTAGTGAGTTTTTCACAGTTAAGTATTGACAAGCAGTTTCCAGAAGCTATTGTTCCCACTTTGCATTTGAGAACAGTAATTAGCAAATTTCAGCACTCCACAATGCAAGACTGAGCTCTCTCTCTCTCTCACACACACACACACACACATTTACTTCATGTCAATAATTTCTCCAATGTAGCTTGATCAAAGCAACAGAACATCTCCCTTATAAATAAAAGCCGAATGGTGGTGGCACTACTCTAGAACATTCCACACGCTCCAAAATCAGTTCGCTCTCTGATCTGTCATTCAGAGGGTCTCCCTATCCACTGGCTGCTTTGCCTGAGTCTTGCCTCCAACATTCTAAACATTTTGCTGTTCCTCTCCCCCCATCTCCAGTCAGAACACAGAGGTTATTTGCATATGCAGCCTCATTGGGCCTTTGCCTCGGAACACATAGGTCGTTTGCATATGCGACTTGATTGGCTTTTGCCTCTAACATTCTAAACAGTTTGCTGTTCTAAGGTAAAATGTGTCCACTCTCCAGGTGAGGGCTGGAGATCCCTCAGAATTACAACTGCTTTCCAAATGGCAGAGATCAGTTCCCCTGGAGAAAATGGTGGGCTCTGTATCCTTATATGCTGCTGAGGTGACCCCCATATGACAGCCAATGTGACGTAGCAGTCAAGGCTTCAGAGCATGGGAGAGGCTGCAGGTGTGTGGGGGGTGGAACGCTGAAGAGTGAGGGGGAAATAAAGGTAGGTTGATGATTGGCTGGGAAGGAGATAGGGTTGCCAACTCCAGGTGGAAATTCCTGGAGATGTGAGGTATGGGGCTTGGAGAGGGTGAGGCTTCAGGAGGCATGGGACCTCGGACAGGTACAAAGCCATAGACTCCACCCTCCAAACCAACTATTCCCTTCTGGGGAACCATTGTTTCCAATCTCCAGGTGAGGGCTGGAGATCACTCAAAATTACAACTGTTCTTTAGGTAGCATTTCTCCTCTGGAGAAAATGGTGGACTCAGTGTCATTATACCCTGCTGAGGTCGCCACAGCAAACTGACACTGAGTGTCCAAGGCCGGAGCACCTGCCCAGAGCCTCTTTCTAGAGATCGTTGTATTTATTTCCACAACGAGCCTTTTTCCTAGTACATCAATAAATATCAAAATTCACACATAAAAACACTAAAATAATTTATTCTTTTATTACCATACTTACAGGATGCCTAAATAAATATGGTTGACACTTCTTGCATCTTGGGACTACTTAGTTAATTAACAGCAAATATATAGAGAGTATATATAGATCAATCTGGATTAAAATAATACTTCATGACATCAGTTGATGCAACTTTAGCAAGACATTGCCTAAAATTCATCTTCATCCCAAATTTGTGGAGTTTAGTTTCAGGAGAGTGTTGGGTTTTGTGTTTTTGTTTTTTGTTTTTTAAACAACTAGAAATAAAAAAGCACTGGAAGGTCACCCCAGGCATCACTCATGGGTGATCTTTTACTCCTGCATTATGCCTAATTCCTGATCTCTGCTATTAGTCCAATATTCAAAATATGTATTATTCTGTTGCCAAAGAATATTTATTATTCTGTTGTCATAGATATTCATCTTCCATCTCATAAAGAATAACAATGTAACAGGCAACTACTACGAGCCGAGCCATCATGGGATGGCATATTAACATTGGATGTCATACCTGAGCTGGTGTTCTCTCAAATTTGACAAGGCTTCCATTCCATGTAAATAAGAATACACTACCTCCAGATCCTAGAAAGAAAGAAATCAATCATTAAAATTTGTGATAGAAACACAAGTCACAAATTCTTATTTACACTGGCTACGTAAAAGGATGAAAGAAAACAGTCTTCAACTTAAGGGAATTAGTCTTATTAGAACTGGGCAGGGGATATGTACACATTCTGTGATTCTTTGGAGAAATGGCAGAAGAAATATATTAAAATGTAATAATAAAAACAGGAGACTACTATTAGTACTTGGGAACAATTTCTCTATTCCACAATACTAGAATGCTTAGAAAACATTCTAAAATACAAGTGTGTGTTTTGAATACTTAAAGAGAAAAACAGTAACAAAAGGGGTTTTCTTAACCATGAAATGACTAATGCCCAACCTTCTCCTACTACAAACCTTAAAGTTATTTCACAAGCTTGGCTGTTATAATAATGGCTGAAACACACACACACACACATCCCTAGAGCATATTTTAGTAAAGCTAAATGCCCATACTAAATAACACTACAGAAGAATAAATACACATTATTTTAGAAAAAATCTTTTTTTATGTTGGGTAATCAAAATTAAGATTACATTTTAAAGTGTTTATTTCTATTAGATGGTTGTGTTTTTGTTTGTTTTTTACACAAAGCTTTCTAGATTTCATAGAAGAATAAGACAGTCTCAATTACAAGATTAATGTTAAGTAATCAGAAAGAGGGCAGTAATGGTTGGTGCAGTTTTCTGCATATACCTAGCAGATGTAAAAAAAAAACTTGTGAATTCAGACAGCAGCAAACAACATACAAAGATGAGTTAAAGAACATGGTAAATTTTGAATAATCTGATGCTAAAAAAAGAAGTATGCAGGAACAGTCCTAACGGAACAGACTATAAGTCATCTAATGCAGTACCCTGTTTCCCACACGGGCCAATGAGATGCACTGGGAGATCTACAAACAGGATTAAAGCTTTCCCCCCAGTAACTGGTATGAATAGGTACACTGCTTAAGAACATGGAAGTTAGCCATTGTAGCTAACAAGACCAGATGATGGGTTGTTATTTTTTTTAATCAGTTCCTCCCCTCACCCTCAACTGGGGCCACATTTCTCTCCTGCCACTGCATTTCTCTATAGCCCCACTCACAGAGCAGCAGCCTTCACTCCCCCAAAACCAATACAGCTACACTTCAGGCATCAAAGTTAACTTGCTGGCACCAGGAAGTTCAAATTAGCATGGAAGGGTCACTGCAATGCTGCAAGGGGCCTCTGGTCTCACTGAGAAAGGCATATGGAGGATGCAGCAGTGGCATATTTCCCAACAGGAAAGAATCCTGTAAAAGAAGGTATGGTGCCCCTTCCCCCATGGAATAACAGGGTTCAAGTGTTACCTAGATAACATCAACATCAAAGTGTTCTGGCAAATGACTTCCAGTTCACAGTGAAGGTAGAACATCATCACGCAATGTGGTAACGCCCTCAATGTATGTCAGGACAGTGGCAGATGGATAATACATGTACAAGCCATTGCAAATCTCTCCTTATATATAATTGAGTAAGTGGGGTGGCACTTTCTGAACATTCCACACGCTCCTAAATCAGTTGACTCCATGATGTGTCACTCGGAAGCTGTCCCTATCCACTGGCTGTGTTGCCTGAGTCCCACCCACAGTGTGCTCCATCAGCCATTGGGCTGTCAGCCGCCACTCAAGAGTACTCACATGCTATTGGCTGGGTGCTGGGTCTGCTCCTCTTCCCGCCCACTCCCACTTCAGCCACTGTTCCCTGTCAGAATACACTCTCTCTCCTGAGGAAGACACTTTGCCTGCTTGGCTCCTCTGTGGGACTAACTTTTCCCTCAGTGGCTGTTGGCAGGCAACCAAGGTTGGTTCTGTCAGTAAAAGGCCCGTTCCACACCTTTTTTGGCATTTGGGAGAAAACTCATTGGGGCCAGTCCTGACTAGGGTTGCCCACACCAGGTAGGGAGATTCCTGAAGATTTTCTAGTAGAGTCTATGGAAGCCAGGGTTTGGGGAGGGGAGAAGCCTCAGCTGAACAGAATGCCATACTGCCCACCTTTCAAAGCAGTTATTTTATCCGAGGGGGGGGGGAGAGATCCATTGTCTGGAGTTGTTGTGATACCTGGTGATCGTCAGGCTCCACTTGGAGGTTGGCTACCCTAGGCATAGCAGTCAGTGCTTCAGAGCAGGATCTGCTAGACCCAGGTTCTTGCTGTTGAAGCTGACTGGGTGGTTTTCAACCAGTCACAGATTTTCAGCCTAACCTACCTCACAGGGTTGTTGTGCAAGTCAAAAGGAGGAGAGGAGAATTATGTAAGCTATTTTGGTCCCCATTACAGAGAAAGACTACTTTTCCTCCTGGGGGACCACTGTTGCCAATCTCCAGGTGAGGGCTGGAGATCACTCAGAATTACAACTGCTCTCCAGATGGCAGAGATCAGTTCCTCTGGAGAAAATGGTGGACTCTGTGTCCTTATACTCTGCTGAGATGGCTCCCCCATGACAGCCAATGTGACGTGGCAATCAGGGCTTCAGAGCCCAGTAGAGGCTGCATGTGGGGGGGGAGATGGAAAGCTGAAGAGTGAGGGGGAAATAAAGGTAGGTTGGTGCTTGGCTGGGAAGGAGATAGGGTTGCCAACTCCAGGTGGGAAATTCCTGGAGATCTGAGGAATGGAGCCTGGAGAGGGTGAGGTTTGAGGAGGGGTGAGACCTCAGACAGGTACAATGCCATAGACTCCACTCTCCAAACCAGCTATTTCCTCCTGGGGAACAAGTGTTGCCAGTCTCCAGGTGGGGGCTGGAGATCACTCAGGATTACAACTGCTCTTCAGGTAGCAGAGATCAGTTCCTCTGGAGAAAATGGTGGACTCTGTGTCATTATACCCTGCTGAGGTCACCACAGAAAATTGTTGCTGAGTGCCCAAGGCCTTGACAATCTTCCAGAACCTCTTTCTAGAGCTCTTTGTATTTCCACAATGGGTCTTATTCCTAGTAATAAACATGATACGTCTGAAATGATAAACAACAAAATGATAACAGAAACAGAATGACAATCTAATTTAATTTCCATTCAAACAATTACTTTATAAAAATGTGTTAGGAAAAAAATGTAGTACTAGTCACCCAGCTATATAAAGAGCGACCTTGTTTTTATAGCAGTATACGAAGACATGAGGTTAGATCTAGAGAAATCTGCACAGAGTCACTCAGTATGGTAATTGTTAATTCTGCACCCTAACGGCAGTCGTCCTTATCTATCCTGGCCCCAAACTTTGGAAGTGCTCTTTAGCAGGCTGCTACAAGGAACAGTAGAAAAGCTCCACAGACTCATAAGCAGAAGTAATTTCATATTTCTTTATAGCCTGCCTGTTTCTGATTCATACTTCATTTGTTAGAACAAATGGAAAAGCAAGTCCTGCCTCAATGTATATGCCATTTTTTTCAATAGTATACTACATTAAATACTCTTTCAAGTCAACCCATGCAAAAGGAGTCAAACCATACTATCTCCATGAAGTTGTCTTTGTATGGAAAGAATATAAACTCAGTCATCGAAATGAAATGAAATGTTTTTTTCTAGCAACATTGTTCACTGGATCACCATAGATGGAAACTTGGTAAACAAAAGAAACTTTCTGCACTATTGTTCTCAATTCTCTTGCTCATGTACTGTTTAAATGAATTTCTTTTCCAACAGATCTCTGTTAACAGATCTAGTATGAAACAGAGAGGTATATCTATTAAGAACTCTTCAACAGCTTGCAATTACAAGCTGGCAAGATCAGTAAGTGCCATTAGCTGAAGTAACAAGAGTGTTCTGCCATTCCACAATTAAGCAAGAAGGAAGGTGTAAGCTACTTACACGTGTTTCGGATATCTGCAGGACTAGGAACAAAGAAGCAACATATCACAGCAGAGAAATTCAATGAAAATTGATAAAAGCTGCAAATATTTTTAGCTGCTGCAGAATTTGCATTTCTCTAATTTGTTGTCAGGTACTGCATTACAAAAACTGTTGATTTTGAAGATGGTGAGAATTCCTGAAAAGCTGTTCTAGAGAACACTAAGAATAGAGCTTCTGTTTGGAAACAGCTCCCCCTGGCATTCAATGGTGATGGAGGAAATTTTTAAAAACACAGGTTCTTTACTGAACATCTCAAATTTTGTAATAGTGACAGACTCGGTAAACTAAGTACACATTTAAATTCTCATCTCTTACATGCTGCACACTATTGAAAATATGATATGACTCAAATATCCTCTCTTTAAATCAGGCCATTATACACACACTAGATCTGGGTGAAGTCCACTCAAGTTTTTACCGGCAAGGCGGGGTATAAATAGGAAATAAATAAAATAAATATATATGCTAGGCATACAGCTGTGAAGCATACTTCTGAAAAATGATTAAAAATATGACTTTCTGCTGGGTCTGGAGACATTCAGAAACAAGTTGAGAAAGTGGGTAAGGCTGTGGAGAAAAAGCTTTACCAAACCACTGTTCAGCCAGTTTTCAGCCAGTAACCAGGGTTTTCCAAAAATCTTTCTAATGTCCTAAGGAGATTTCATTTAGTATATATGTTTTGACATGTCTCTAAATAAAACTTTAGAAGTACCTCGTGTTATTTTAGGTTCTTGTCACAACAAATACTTGAGCTGACTATCCGAGTAAGAAAGAGAATCAGGTAGTCAAAGCTTATTTTATTTGAACAATACTTCCAAATACAGTCAATATAATGTGTACTTCCCTTACATTGTTTAAATTTACAGGGGGGAAGCACTGAAAATGGCTGACACTAATTTTAGCACACTCAAAGAACAGCATAGTTAATATACACTGTTTCCTGTGAAACAGTTGTATATTGAATCTGTGCTTTTTGTGCTACATATACAGCATAATGCTTATGCATAAATGTTAAAAGTCATATAACCTGCTTGATATGTTACATTATTCTTAAATAGAAATGGAATCTGATTATTTCATAAACCATCATG